TATTGGGATCAGAAGTTGCTGCTTCCATCCCGGAGTCGTCTTTTGACGAGTAGTGGTTCATGGTACTGAGGTTGAGCTTCTCGCCTGTTTGCAGGTCAAGAGCGACTATGGATGCGACTTGTCCTTTGTTGATCAAGTGCTTGAGGGACCTCAAGCCAATCGTCCCGATGGATGTTTTCGGTGTTGGCAAGGGTTTACTGAAGATTGAAGTGTACTCTTGATTGTACGACTTCTCGGGAACAGGGATAACTGTGGGCGGAGTTGGCGGTTTGCTGGCTTTGTGCGATTGTTTCGAAGTAGGCGACTGGAGTGGCTGCTTATCGCCGAAAGGGGTAAGTACCCTTTGCAAACAAGTAGCTCGACAGAAGTCGGATCTGAAGTTGATAGTTCGATTGGTCCAGTCGATACCAGGATTGTGCTTCTTTAACCAAGAAGTACCAAGGGTCAAGGAGTGTTGACCGATATTCGTAACGAAAAGGTCGATTTTCTCATGGTGGCTTCTGACACTCATGGAAACAACGGAGGTTTTATGTGTGATGGCGCCTGATTTAATAGGTCGTCCATCAGCCACATCAAGGGCTATGGGTTGACGAAGTGTCGTGACTGGTATGTCGAATCTTTCGACCAATGATTTGTGGATGAAGCACTGAGTGGCTCCAGAGTCTACCATTGCAGGTAGTACAATGGAGTTTGCCGAGTTCCTCCAGGAGATTTTGACTGGTAGGTTGAGTTGAGGTTCGGGTTGCAAGGTGGAGATTTTGAATCGAAGGTTATGAGGAGCTGACCCCAGCGCAGTTTCCTTCTTTACTGGTGGGGATTTTCGTTTTCCGAAGTTTCATGAAGGGCGGATAGTTTCTGAGACGAAGGTTTGGCTCGGCAGTCTTGAACTTGGTGACCTGGTTTACCACAGTACAAGCACAAGTTCTTCTTTCTTCGTTCGTCCTTTTCGGCTTGAGTAAGAGGCTTTCGAGGCTGAACGGAGTCGATATCCATGGGCCAAGGGCCTTTGACGGAAGTTTCGACGGGTTTGTAGATGTTGACAAGTGGAGGACGAGTAACTTCTCGAGCATTGGCAAATGGTCGTGATGTACGAAGTGCGGGGTGAGCTCGGCGCCTTTGGAACAGGAGGTTGTCCCATTCGATAGCAGCGTCGACGATTTCGTAGAAAGACGCGAATCGTTGAGGAGAAAGAAGTCGGTCTTGAACGTCGGGTTTAAGGCCATCGAAGAACGCCTGTCGCAGAGCCTCGTCGCTCCAATCCAAGTACAATGCGTACTTCTTGAAATCGGTAGCATATGTGCTTGCTGAAGTTGTTTGCTTCAAGGCTTTAAGCTTTTGCCTTGAGGTTTCTTTGATGTCGGAATCGGCGAAGTTCTTGAAGAATTCGTCCTTGAACTCTTCCCAAGAGTCCGTCCAGCTTTGCTTTTGTTGACTGAGTAAAGCCGGTTTGAGCCATTGGTAGGCATCTCCTTCCAACAAGTTAAAGACAAATGCCAATTTGGTTCTGTCATCGTGATAGGTTCGATGGCATATGTCGAAGATGGATTGGCACTTGAGGATAAACTCTTCCGCTTCCGCTTTGTTGCCTTTGAAGGGAGAGGGGGACTTCAACTTGGGTTCTTTTGGAAGAGAAGGAGTGTACGGGGTGATTGTGGGTTGTTGAGAGCTTTGTCGAACCCTTTCTTCAAGTTCCGCTAGCCGGCTAAGTAACGCCGCGTTATCCACATTGCTTGAGGCTACAGGGTCTTGAGCGGGTTCCATAAGAATATTGTCGGAGGGCAAAAGTCCAGGGCCAGATGGCGAAGCGTAGAAGGGTTGAACAGCCATCATGAACCAACGGTACAGGGCAAGGGCGATGGAAAACATGTTGGCGAAGGTGGTTGGCTTGCTATCAAAATTAGATCAATACAATTCAACAATTAAGTCGATACTGTACTTCCAAAGTGACCGACACTAAAGTCGAGTTGAACTTTGAAAAGATTTATTTTGATATTTGATGACCAAGAAAGTTGATTACGTAAGGTGAATATGATTGGTGAAGATGAAGGTCGAGGTGGTGAAGTCGAAGGTTGAGGTGGTGTCGTGAGACCAAGAGGTAGTGAGAGCAAGATACTGTCAGGGATGGGCGAGGGCTTGATGGCAGACACCAGCCTCAGGACAGGGCAAGGCTAAGAACTATGACGAATTGTAGGATCGAACACGTGACTAGTATTATGATTAGATAATATATGTCATTGACATGTGATCTTGCTCTAAGGAGCAAGGACGAATATCAGTGGGTGGCAAATACCATTCAAAAGCTCTCCTTATATAGTTATCCGAGCGACTAGGCAGCCCTAGGGTCTCCAAGGGCCCTAAGCAGAATCGATGGCGAAAGTGGAGGCTGTTGGGACAGCGTGCTGTCGATGCACTGTGTTGTGCTGTGCTGTGCTGTGCTGTGCTGTGCTGTGCTGTGCCGTGCTGGGCGTCGCCGCACCATGGCGATGCGCAGCGGGTGATGATCAACGGGGGGTGCGCAGCGGGTGGTGCGCAGCGGATGATGATCAGCGGGTGATGATCAGCGGGTGAGGATCAGCGGGTGAGGCTCAACCGCCGTTGACTTCCAGAGTTGATTATGTCGGCGAGAGTACTGTTCGATCAGTGGGCTCTGTCGGTTCATGACACTTATGCCTTACAACAACATTACCGATTTGATTGCTTTTTGCTCATTGGAGCAGAACTAGTTGTCATAAGTCAAGACTATCATTCCTCTATCGGTAGTACAAACTGTCAGTTCTCGATCAGTCATCGTTCTCAGCCTTGTAATGCCCTTGTTCGATTCAATCCCAGTGTCTGTTATCATGCTTCTGCACATCCCTCATGCAACCAGATTGAAGAAAAAAAATGAGCACAGTTTGTGCCATCTGCCAGCCGACATGCTTGATCAATATGCGGTTCATTTGAATCGACCTTGAAACATCTTGTACCAGTCGTACTGCACGTTCAAATCTTCTATCTCCTGCATGAGCCCTTGTGGAGTCTGACAAGCTAGATAAAACATAAGCCATTGAAGCTGCTTCATGTGCAGTCCCGTAGCCCAACGACTTCCGACGAGAACACCACCTTCTAGGGAAAGACCGAGAATTAGGAGACTTTGATATCTATCGTAAGCTCTGCGCCTTTTGGGTGTGGGACCTTCCCCCGATGTTGAATTTCCGATTTTGCCCGACTGCACGCACCACTCAAGGACATGTTGCGGATGATGGACCGCATTTTGTCCGCCGAAACACCACAACGGGGGCCTCACGAAGTACACCAGCTTTGATTGACCCTCATAGAGGCACGCACTGGACCATAATCCAAAGAAACCAGGGATCTCGAAGTAGATTCGTTTGCATTCAAAGGCTTCGTATTGTTTTTCACTTTGGACACACGTAAAACACTCCTCGCTGTTTTTCTGGCCGCTATTGCAAGCCCAAAGATTGGTTCTTACGCCATTGTATTTGGGTATGAGCGATTTTGTGAGCACGCAGGTCCCTTCCTGAGTGGACAGTCCGGTTGTAGTCTTGGATCCTTGGCCGAAACTCGCAATGATCTCTCTGTCTGCGCTCATAGCACGTTCGCTCACATATTCCGGAAGCGATGGAAACGACTTCTCTATGTTGGCACAGAATTCGCCGATCCGCTTATGAACCCATCCGTGTTGGATGCCACGCATTGGAAGTTGCTTTGCTTCTTGCGTCGGAATGTCCCAAGCTAGCGTAGATCATAGAGGACGCCAGTTTAGCAAATCTCCTTCACGATGTGAGCACGAATAAACGTGATGTAATACTTACTGACGACTTTGATGACTTTTCAGTAGAGAAGTCCCAGCGAAGAGGTGGCAGTGTCACCCGGGTGTCGACAGTACCAAGAGTGTCTGGGGTTGGGTTTCTTGACGAAGTTTCAGAACAAACGAAGGTTGAAGCGTAGGTGTGGGCGGAAAGCTCTCTGGAAAGGCTGCTGGGCCCGGGGCGGAGTTTCATTTCAGTCTGATGCGGATTGTGCGCCCTAATGAGTCAAGACGCGAAAAGGCGTATCAGGTAAGAGATTAAGCCCTTGAATATATCTAGAATAAAGTATATCGTTCGCCAGCTCAAAAAGAAAACCATGAGGTGAGTCTTGAGCAGTTAAAGGTAGATCTCTGCCTTTGGGCATCCTGCACGATGCGATTGTCATCCTGTCGTGAGTGCCGATACTTTCGTAACAAAGGAGCTTGCTTCCGCAAAACATCTGATGCACTCAAAGGTGGGTTGCTGTTTCAAAGCGCAGATGATCATGGGAAATCCCTTTCGATGTAAGTGCACCGGTAGCAATCTTTGGGAGTACTTGGAAGTGGACTTTGGATTACTCGTGACACAGTAACACTAAATTGAGTCTGACTCTCTCAGGGACTGGCCCGCCCTCAATTATATCTCGTGCGTCGCGGTCTCGTGAGTGGTGCATGTATACATCTTCAGACCCGTACGAGATGTCTGATGCTCGATTTATATCACGAATGTCCGCGGAAGACGAACGGCGACACCAGATGGGTGTTTTCAAGTAGTGAAAACACAGGCGGGACTAGAGGTGGCTTCGGAATGTTTCTCGTAAGCCCAGGTCATCTTGCTTGGCATACATCGTATTATTCGTATATAGCTATGGGACACGAAAGTATAATTAGTCAACCGTCCGATTCTAAAGGCTGTGGCAGCCTAAAAATGATCGGCTGGTCCCAAAATCCAGTGCATCTTGTGGACAAAAGTAAGCTGTACAAACAGTGTTCAAAGGGTTTGCCAAAAAGGTCATGTAGCTTGATACACAGCATGATTAGCTATGCGACACAAACGTCCCTGTTGTCGAACTGCCCATTCGATCGACCGTAGCGGCCTTGAAAATGTTCGTAGAGCTTCAAGAGCCATTACATTTTGTAGACAGCAGTCAAAGGTACAAAAATTGCCGGAAGAGTTTGCAGAAAAGTTGAAAATGAAGCCAAAAAACGCTGATGACGGTGAGGTTCGAACTCACGCCCCGAAGGACCAGAGTTTAAGGCCATTTGAAGTGAAATGGGATCCTAAATCTGGCGGATTAGACCACTTTCCTACGTCACCTGTTGATGGAGGCAGTTCCTGCTTTTAAAATATGTCTAGATTAGTTGAGAGCCCTTCAAGGGATGAGGAGGCTGGCCATCTGTTTGGCTGACCCGTCCTATCTGCAAGCTTCTCACTTCCCCCCGACGCTCTCCAAAGGTTCGTCTTTAGTGGATACTCTCGTCTACTGCGTCGTCGCAGCTTCGTCTGCTAGCTCACTCGTCTGCTTAGCTGTCTGGCTGCTGTCTGCCTCCTGGCATGAATTTCTCGACACTGTATGACTTGAACTGCACACACATGAATGCACGCGACGGCTCCGGCTGAATCCCCAGAGTCGGTCGCTCCAGGGCGGGAGAAAGCGCATTCGAGCCAATTTCGTACATTGTCGTCAGTGCAGGGCGGCGGATGCGCTTGTGATAAAAAGAGATGGCCACCGTTCAAAGACAAGACAAACTCGTTCAAGCCATAATATTATCACCTTTTCCTGCTTTTCTTACTGTTTCGTGCCACTCGTGTCTTGTGAAAGACACCAACGGACATAGGCGTAGCGAGAGACATATCCTCTTGCCGTTCTTCTCAAGGCTACTCCAAGGAAAAGCCCAAGAAAGAAGAAAGAAAGCGAAAGAAACGAGCTCGTTCTTTTGCACACCGGGACGACTTATCGAATCGAATCACAACGAATCGAATCGACGCATCACCAGCATCTTGACTCTGTCATTTCATCCGACTTGTTAATACCGACCCTATCAGTCAGTATCTTATCAGAATCATATCCAAAATCGATCAGGAATCGAATCTAGCAGCAGCGTGTGAGTACTCGGGAGTGCTGGTTTGCATTTGAGCGGTCCGATACTGACTCCCCCCTTGCTTGTCAGTTACCCGCAATAGCATCATCTTTGGGACCACTTGACTGTGTTCATCTCAAAGCCGTCAACGTCGACCACCCTCTTTCTGATATCCCGATCGTCGTCAACCCATTGCGTTGGATCGACATCGAGAGCTCAGGAATCTGACAAAACCCAGAAAATGAGCAAACCTACTCAACCCCCCGCCGCCACAGGTGGAAAACCCGCAGCTCGAGCTTTGACCGGTTCCAAATGGGCACTCGGTCCTCCTCAACTATCTCAACCTGCATCGGCAACCGTCTCGCCCCTGCAGTCACCCAACCCGAACAAGGAGAAGTTGACCACCTCGGATTCGGCAACGACGAGTACGCCTCCGAGTGCTCGTCAAAGCCAGGCTGGACAACCGCGAAAGGCTGCCACTCCTGCCGCCCCCGCCGCATCCAAGGCTGTCAATATCCCTTCGCCGCCCACCGCTGCTTCGACGCCAGCAAAGAACCCGGCCCTAAACTTTGGCACGGTTGATAACCCGGAATCTACGATCAGCTCGTCACCCGCCACCAAGCCCACCGCCGGTGCGCACCTTGGAGAAGGCGAAAAAGTCAAGAGCTTTGGAAGTGTTGCTGCTGCTGCCGCTGCGCAGTCTCCTGCAGTCGCAGTCTCCACTCCCGCCCCAACTTCGGACAAGCCTGCTCAAGTCAACGGCGACAAGCCTGCACCTCCCACCGAGGCGGCTGCAGCTCCTGCACCTGCTCAAACGAAACCCAAGTTTGACCCTCACAAGATGTTCCAAAAGGCACCGGCCGCGACACCCTCGTCTGCGCCGTCGGCACCTACCGCCGCGCCCGTCTCTCCCGCAGCCGCTGCTCCTATCGCACTCGCCTCGCCTGCTCCGGTGCCGCAACAGCAGAATCCGTACGCTCAACTGCAAGCCACGCAGATGCAGCCCGGTCAGGCGGGTATTCCCCATTCTCGAGGGTACACCGCTCAAGGTATGCCCGTGCAGTCCTTCTCCCCCTCTGGTGGACAACAAAACGGGATCAACAATAACCAATCTCGTGGAGGTCCTCATCGATCTCCGATCATGAACCACTCGCAACCGGGACAATTCAACCCCGCTTCTGGAGCATTCTCGCCTGCTAGTGGACCAAACATTCGGCCGCCCAGACAGTCGAACCAGCAGCAGATGGGTGGACGAGGCATGTACGCGCCCCAGGGTATGCCGGGACAACATTACCCAGGTATGGCACAGGCTTTCAGCCCATACGGTCAAGGTCCGTACAATGCGTACGAATTCAACCCGGCTTTCCAGTACCAGCAGCAGCAACACTACCCTGGTCAGCCTGGAGGTCCCTCTGTTCAGAGCCCCTCCATGGGTCGACCACCTCTGCACAACGCACACTCGGGAAGCTTTGGATCCAACACCAGTGGCCTTCCACCCGTTACCGGCGGCGTCGCTTCGCCGATGTCGCCCCAACTCGCTCCGGGAACACCTCAACAAGCTCCCCGAACACCTAGCTTGTTCTCCCCCGGTGCCGCTGCGTTCTCCCCCGGTGCATCAGCGTTCACACCCGGTGGTGGACCTCCGGCCTTTGTTCCTGCCAAAGCACGAGCGAGTGCCGTCAAGATTACGCGAGATGACGGAACAGCCGTTGATCTTTCCATCGTCGCCAAGACCGTAAAGGGGTCCGGACCTACTGCAGCGGCTATTGCAGCAGCTGCTAGTATCGCTGCTACTGCTTCTCCCAAACCCACTGGCGCCGTGCCTGTGACGGTTCGAATCGAGTCGCCTGTCCAGAAAGAACTGAGGCAGAGGGAGCTTGACGAGGAGAAGAAGCGAAAGGAGCAGGATGCACGAGAAGAGAGGGAGAGGAAGGAGAGGAAGGAAAAGAAGGAAAAGGATGATCAGCAGCGCGAACAGAAGCAGGCCGAGGAGAAGAAGGCCGATGACAAGGTGAGTCTGCCCGCTTGAAGGAAAGTCGCCTGTGCAGTCTTATTAACCACCTTTTGTTTCTAGGTACAGGCTGACAAGGAGACAAAGCAGGCCGAAGCGGAAGCCGACAAAAAGGTCGCTGATGCCGCTGCCGAGAAAAAGGCTTCCGAGGATGCCACAGTCGCTGCTGAGAAGAAGGCGGCGGACGACAAGGCTTCCGCAGACGCTGAGAAGAAGGCTACTGCAGACGCCGCTGAGAAGAAGCAGCAAGAGGAGAAACAGGCCGCTGAATCCGCCAAGGATCAACCCGAGCCTGCCGCATCAGTGTCCGTCTCGGAAGCTCCTTCCAACTCGTCCACCATCGCCGGCCTTCCTCCCAAGCCCTCTACCGAGGTACTCGAGAAGGCCAACCTTTCAGCTCCCGATGTGTCTGGTAGAGCATCTGCGACGCCTTCACCTATGGCTTCCCCTGCCATGGCGCACGCCACGTTGCCAGCAAAGCCTGAACTCGCCTCGTCCGAGCACGCTCCCGCTTCTCAGCAGAACGGCGTCTCGTTGTCGACCGAAACCGACTCTCCAGCATTCGGTTTGGCATTAAAGACCGCCAAGGTCATCGAGGATCTTCGAGCCATTACCTATTCGAACGGTATCAACCCCCCTATACCCGAGCTCAACGAGCACGCTCCCGCCGGTAAATACCGGTACGACCGCGAGTTCCTACTGCAGTTTGGCAACGTCTGCAAGGATCGAGTCCCAGTGGAAATCGACCTTCATTCGCTGGGCATCGACCCGCGCACCGCGCCTAAAGTCGAGTTTACTCGAGGGGGCAGCCAGCGTGGTACTCCCCGTGGCCAAGGCGGTGCTCGAGGTGGACCCGGAAACATGGCTGGCGGCGGTATGGGCACCTTTGGCCGAGGTGCAATGGGCTCTGGAGCCATGGGCCCTATCGGTGGTGGTGGCTCATACAACTCTCGACCTGCTCAGACAAGCGAAGAACGACTGGCTCGATCCAACACCGGTATTGGTGCTGCTTTCGGTGCTGCTCGAAATTCGCAGGGCGGCATGTCCAGGACTACCTCGCAGGCCGGACCGATGGGTTCTATGCAGGGTGGCATGCGAAACACTGGCGACCGTGCCAGAAGTACTCGTGGCAAGCCACGAGGCGGTGAAGGTCGTCAACCCTTCCAAGCGCCTCTCGACCCGAATGTCGCTCCTCTCGAGGCTTCGGCCAACCGATGGACGCCCGCTGTTCAGAGCCGAAGGCCTGGGCAGTTGGACGAAAACTCGCCTGAATTCGTTGAACGAAAAGTCAAGGGTCTGCTCAACAAGCTTACCGCCGAGAAGTTCGACTCGATCTCCAACCAGATTCTCGAATGGGCCAACAAGTCGGTTACGGAAACCGACGGTCAGACTTTACGACTTGTCATCAAGCTCATCTTTGAGAAGGCCAAGGACGAGCAGTTCTGGTCTTCGATGTACGCCAAACTTTGTCGTAAGCTGTGGCAGGACATCAACCCTGATGTCCAGGATGCAGAGATGACTGGTGCGGACGGCAAACCTCTTAGCGGCGGTCTTTTGTTCCGAAAATACCTGCTCAACCGATGTCAAGAAGACTTTGAAAAGGGTTGGAAGCAAAAGGCTGATGCATCAGCTGCTGCAAAGGAGAAGGCCGCCGACGATCAGTTGAAGAAGGCCGCACACGATGCAGCTGTCGAGGCTGGTAATGAAGTCGAGGAATTCAAGTTCTCCGACGAATACTACGCCGAACAAGCCGCCAAGCGACAGGGACTCGGTCTCGTCAAGTTTGTCGGTGAATTGTTCAAGCTCGAGATGCTGTCGACTAGGGTTATTCATGCTTGTATCGTCAAGCTGCTTGCCAACGTCGTCGACCCTGACGAGGAAGACGTGGAATCGCTATGTCAGCTGTTGACTACAGTTGGAGCCAAGCTTGAGGCTCAGCCCAAGATGTCTCAGCAGGTTGGTCTGTATATGCAGCGAATGGATGATCTCAGAAACAGTGAACACTTGTCTTCACGAATCAGGTTCATGGTCCAGGTACGTCAACACGCGTGTCGCTTCTGGAACTACACTCACCCTGTTATCCATATTATCAGGATGTTATGGAACTTCAACGAAACAAGTGGCAAGAACGAAATGCCAAGGGCCCCACGGGTGCCATGACTATCGATCAGGTTCACGCTCAGGTAAATCTCCTCCTCTCCCGTTTGTCAGCCTTCCTATACTCA